CAAAGTTATAGATATTTAATTGATTCCCCATTATAGCCTATGGCTGGATCTCCGACGCACCTACAAAGCTTTTCCGAAGTACTTCGGGAGCGCTGAACCACTTCAGAAAGCCTAACAATGGCAGTGCCATTGCAGCCTAACAATGCAGCACCTAACATCTGGACATGCTGATTTGGATGCCAAAGCATCCAAAGCTTCTCTGGATCCAAAGCACAGTCCAAAGCCTTGCACAGCTCTAGTTTTCATGCTTCTTCATCAACGGCAGAGAAACCGGGGTTCCCGGCTTCCAGATAGATCCAGGCGGGGCTTGGGACACCCCTGACTTGGAGTCAGCCAAGCCTTGTTGAACCTGAGATGTTTCATGTTACATGCTATGGCCTCAACAAATCAGCACTTTCTGAATGAACATTGCTGGAGCTGGCATGCAAGGCCTGCTTGGGGGAGTGAAGGGGGTTATGGGGTTCATGTGAGGTCTGGGCACTGTGGGGTGAGGGGTCCATTAAGTCTTACCCTAAACTTCAATCTTGAGGTCACTGCCTCTCCTCTCTGTTGTCCAAAACTGAGAGGCCTGGTACAGACCTCTGGAAGGTAACTGCCACAACCTCTGTTTCCAGAGGGACCCAAACATTTTAGGAGAAGAGGCTTTTCTGGCTTTCCAGTTCTCATCAGTCAATACGGATCTGTCCTTTGATGGCTTGAGCAACCCCCAAAATTCTCAGAATTGATCAGATGAAATAATGTTGTGTTTTGCTAGAGGTACACAAATGCCACAGAGGTGAGCACATGCCATCCCTTCAGGTAGGCAAGAAAGCTAGTCTATATAAGGTCTCTTACAGGTTTCTCCTCTGTATCAGTGCATGGGAGGGCACATGGCACATCTCCCATGGCACAGTCCAGAGGAAATGGCAGGACACTTCCTGTGCCTTCTGCCTGTTCATCTGCCTGGAATGGCTGCATTTTGGCAGCCCAATAGCCTGAGCTCACAGGACTAGGCTTCTCCAGCCAGGCCACATGGGATATGGGCAGGGTTGCTGTAGCAGGGAGCACTGCTCCTGCTGCCACTCTCCTATTTCTCTTCAGAGGTCAGAGCAGGCCAGGCTGGAAAAGGAATGTGTACCCCAACCAGACAGCACAGGCCAAGAGACCTGCATCCCAGGCTCACATGTACACACCATTCAGATGTGTGCTTAGTCAGTGGTGTCATGTGTTATGTGGGTTAGGGTGTGGGAAGTTGCTTTTGTGCCAGCCCACAAAGGCAGTGCCCAGAGCTGCTGCCCTAGCTATCCCTCCCCTCAGCTCTGCCGCCGATTCAGCCTTTCTGCTCTCAGTGCTGGGCACCCTTGCAGCTCAAAACCCAAATCCTTTGTCGTGATTAGATTTACTTTGCACTGGAAATTTTCGCTCTGCAGGTCTTCTCACTCTCACCTCTGAGATCCAGCTCACACCCACCACCCCCACTGCTGTACCTTTTGCTCCTTCAGGCACTTTTAGTGCCTTGATTATTACAGTTGCCTCTTTAGCTAGCCTCTTGTGCACTCCAGATCCACATACACATCTGTAACAGTGGCACCTCTTTGGGGTCCGTCTACTGGTGGCCCTGCCCACCTGTTATGGGCCAACCGCCTGCCTTCTCGTCTGCTATGCCTTGTTGTTAATTAATTAATAGATGTAATTAAGTGGCAGGCTGCCCATTTCCTGCCCCGATGCCAGGGCCGCTATCTGCGGCTCTGTTCCTTCTCTACACTGCAACCTAAGCCTTGCAGATGGACCTGACTTTGTTTGGTCTAGGCCTTATTATCATTTGGCTCCTGAGGAAAGGGAATGTATCTCTGCAATGTCACCATCAAACGTGTACTGAGGGCAGAGTGTCGTTATGTGGTCCATAATTTGATCAGGATTGCCACAGTCACACTTTGCACAACTCCGAATACACCACTTGTGCATCAAGTGACCACAGTGGCCATGCCCAGTTCGGATCTACTTGAGAGCCTTCCTCGTTTCCCTTTTCATTTAAATGCAGGAAATTCTCCCCTGGGAATACGCTGCAGCCCACATTGCGCTGGAGACCTTGCAGGCGCTGAAAGCAAGACTGGAAGGCAAGGAGACATTGCCCCTCTTGGTGCTGGGGAGGAAGGAGGGCACATCCTTCCTATTTCTCACCTTTGTTGCCTTCCCATGGGGAAAGCAGCTGGGTGCTGGCAGCCCTCTGGACCAGGAAGGGGCAGAGGTGGGGTTCCCTGTTTCAGGCCATTTGTGGTACTGTGGGAATGGCAGCACAGTGTCTAGACTAATCGCCACACACATGTCAGCTCCCCCAGTCCCCATGGAAAGGAGCCTGAGTGCAGACTAGGCTGGGCTCCGACTGGGTGCGGGAGTCTGCATCGGTGACGTCCAGCTCCGGACAGGGTCTTCTGTCCTGCCTCCGCCTCTGCTCCCAGCCCCAATGGGCAGAGGGTGGAAGAAGAGCCATTACTATCCTGTTCTGTAGGGCGTGGACACCCCAACCCTTGCACCGATCTCCTGGGAACAGGGGCTGGCCGAGGCCCACGCACCCAACCTCACAGTCCCCAAATGAAGGTGTTTTGAGGATGGTCTGGGGACAGCTGGCAGTGGTGGGTGACTTGCTGCGGAGACTGGGTGGCAGCTGCTCTTGCCCACGGTCGTGTTTGGCAGGGGTTGGTTTGTCCCGGGAAGAACAGCCCGGCACCAGAACAACCCTCTTTATGACGTCAAACAGGGGCTTGACTGAATGCCGACCAGCAGGCAGCAATGAATGATGCACAGCGTGGAGCAGACCCACCTCCCGGCAGGAGCGCACACATACGTGGCACTCAGCACGTAACATGTGTTGTGCTATAAGCCAGTGGTTCTCAACCTTTTCAGACTGAAGGCATGCCTGGATAGACTTGGAAAAGGTCAGCTCTTCGTTTTCAGTCTTTTTTGGACTACAGAAAAAGAATAGAGCTGTTTTTCTGTTGCAAAGATCTCAGGAAGACCTCTACAATCAACACCTGCACATCCAATACACATGCATAGATTACTAATTCATATACCACACACACAATGATATCTATATATGTATATATATGTATATTCACTAATTCACACACATACCACCCACCTACACATACAGGTGAATTCCTAAGTTGGGTGTTGTGATATGTATGTATGTATGTGCTTGGTGTACTTGGGGTACCTGGGGAAAGGTTAAGGTAAGAAAGTAGAAGTGTAGGGAGTGAAAGTCACTGGGACTGGGATTAGAACTGGTAGACTAGAGGGGCCTGGGCCGAAGAACTGAGGCTGGGGGTAACTTTAAGTTAATAGATTTTATTTGATTAAAAGACAACACCCAAAGCCTGCAGAACAGGGGAGGGATGCCAGCACAGAAGCTGGGTCTGGAGCCAGAGCTATGGGGGAGATGAAAAGGTAAGTGGGGAGAGGGGAAAATGGGACTAAGGGAAAGTGTGGGTGTTAAAGAGATGCTCTGGGTGTGGGGAGCCAGAGGATGGCTTTTGGGCAGCTAGAAAAGTTGCAGGGAGTGGCAGTAGGTGCTGGGAGCTGGACAAAGGCTCCAGCTGCTGGAGAAAACTGCAGGAGAGCCACGAGGACCTGGAAAGCTGTGGTGGGGAGGACTACAGAAGGTGGGAGGGAAGTCTGGAAAGAGAGAGACGGAGAGCAGAAAATCACAGGAAAAGTGGCAGGACAGACAGAAAGGTGGCAGGGCAGTGGGAAAGCAGAGAAAGGCAGCAGAAAGTTACAGAGAGAAGGCAATAGATGGCACGGGAGGCTGAAAGGCATCAGGGACAGCAGGAAAGCAAGGAGAGGCTGAGAGGTGGCAGAAAAGGGGAGACAGAATTGGGAGGAGATCGGGAAACTAGTGGGGGGGGCGGAGCTGGGAGAGAGAGAGAACCAGGCTGGAATTTAAGATAAGGAAGGGATGGGGATTCAGTAAAACATCACCCAACTCAGGGTTGCAAATGACAGTGGTTTTATTGAACAGGGGAGATGGTGACACAATGTTTTATTGGTTCCCTTGCACCCACCCACCCACAATGGCAGCAGGGGTTAGAGAGTCTTGGTGCAGTGGCAGAAGTCCACTGAAGTGTGGGAGGAGGGAGAGAGAGAGAGAGAGAGAGAGAGAGAGAGAGAGAGAGAGAGAGAGAGAGAGAGAGAGAGAGAGAGAGTCCAAATTGTAGAAGGAGGTATGCAGGTAATATCTACCTATCCCAAGCTGGAAGTTGATCCTTGATGGCCAGTCGGGGTCTCCTTCAGCTCGGTGTTGTCCAGAGGGTGTCTCAGGCAGGGCGTCTCGGGTGGATAGATGACATGAAGCTGGTCTGGTTCGAATGGAAATGGTGTTCCCACTGAGTCTGTCTTCACTGCTCCTTTTTATAGGGGCAGACCGTGTGTGACCCTAGTGACAGGAGGCATGCCCAGGCAAGGGTCAGCCCCTGGCGTACTGAGCATGTGTCCTCCATGCAGGGATGTGCAGTTTCGGGTGTCTGTAATGGTGGGGACAAGGGGCGAGTTGCTGGTTCTGCAGGGTCTTTGTCTTTCAAATGCTGATCTTGTCTCTGTTCCTTGGTGAGGTCCGTGGTTCCTGGATGAATCAATGTGAGGTGATGGCCCAGTCATTACAGGCCGTTCAGTAGAGACCTGCTACCATTGTATTTCAATCATTCCCAATCAGTCTCATTCATCCGGGAACCAATTTACATGGGAGGGGTACAATGAATCATATTGTTGCAACATGGGATGCCCAGGCAAAGGACACAAGATGGAGGCTTGACATCTAAAATGGAAACTTGACATGACTTTAGTTCATTTACAAACACAGGCCTGATCCATACAATATCCATATGAAACAATAAAAATCAATACGAAAATGATAATAATACAATATACAACAGTAAAAATCAATACAAACCTAATAATTATCCAATATAAAACAGTGGATATCCAAAACCAAAAACTTGCTACCAAAAAAGAAAAAAAGAAAGAAAAAATGTTAAAGCTTATCCTAAGTCTGAGCTTGCTTATTCTTGTCTATAGGGAATAGAGAGGGAGAGAAAGAAAAGTCAGAACTAGTTGGGGAAGGGAAGGGAATGCTGCACTAAGGAGTGAAACCCTTGTCCTTGAAACGAGAAAGGCTTTGTCAGCACGGCGATCCAGAGGTATGACATGAGGCAGCCAGTCACAGTCCTGCTAGCTTTAATCTCTCTCTCTCCTGCGAGCTGTGCAGAGAGGATACAGCTGCACAGACCTGTCTGTCCTGGAGGAGTTTTTGAAGGGACAGCTAATTCCTGTTATCATCCTACTTCTGGTGTCCTGGGAGTATTTGCATACAGGAATTCACATTTGCTCCAGGCTCACACCTTCAGAAATATCATTCATCGTTGTGCCCTCTTGCCATAACGCAGGTTGCCTTAGATTTGAGAACTGCCATCCTGTCCCCGACAGACGTTATTCCCTAGGACACTCTCTTGGTCAATGTCTCTCTCTGAATAAGCTGCCAAATGAAACGGTATCACGTTTGCAGTTTAATGAGTCTCTTCTTCCCTCTGACTGTGTCTGGCTGATGTGGCAGGTACAACGTCACTCACCTTTCAAGCACAGTTTAATGTTTCCATTCTGGACCATCTCAGCTGTAACATCTCTTACCCTACCGCAGCACAGAAGATATCAAAATCCACTGCTTACGGTGGAAAATCTGCAATCTAAAGAAAAAAAGAAGCCAGACTACACAGCAACATCTTCTTAAGCCTGTGCCTTGCTGTGCCTACCTGCCTCTGTGCAGATGCCTGAGGAGGAGTGTCTTGCATTTAAAGGCTTGTCTACCTAGTGGATCCAATAAAAGAGATCAGCCTAAGAGCTCCTTGCCTCTTGCATAATTTGTGCACCATCACAGCTAGAGCATCACTCCACTATTTTTGGTAATTCAGTGTTAACAATTAAACTAGTTAGTAAGACTGAGTGTTCTCGCACATTAAAAGTCTGGCCTATCCTGCTGGGTTCGGGCATACATGCACTACCCCGCTGCCATCGTGAAGGTGGGGAGAGGAAGCAATGCAGTCTTGGTGGTGTGTCAGGGAAAGGCTTTTCACAACAGGCTGTGCAGGAAGCAAATCAAGGGAGCAGTGAAATGAGAAATTATGACATTTTTAGGGTCTTTTCAGCCACCACCTCTTTCTGGCAGTTTTTTGCGTGAAGGAGCTCACTGTTTTTCAGTGAGTTTGTCAGGCATGCCTCCTTCTGAAATCGACTCATCTATGAGGGGCTTGCCCTTATGCTTCTTGACCACCTTATCAACCAGCTGCATCAGCTCCTCCACCTGGTTCTCCCACTCTCCTCCAGTCTCTTTGTTGTTGAAAGCGCAGTACCGTTTCCCACACCTTTTGATCAGCTTCTGGAGACCTTTGTTTTTAGACTTTGTCACATACTCCTCCAGGGAGCCGTCGCCCAAGTCTTCTTTCCGAGTGAATAAGACAATCATGAACTTTTTGGCTTTACGACCAAAAATCTGCTTTACTGCCTTCACTGCTGCCTCATCTTCTTTAGTGTAACGGCCCAGCTGGGTCACCAGCACCAGAGCGTGGGGGCCCGGTGCACAGAGCTGGCAGCAGTTTTCGATCTCTGGGAAAGCATCCAACTTACTGATTTCTGGATCGAAGATGTTGGCAGTGTCAATAAGTTCAAACTCGTGTCCTTTCCATTTCCGACTCTCCTTCCTGCATTCCACAGTGACGGGCTGTGGGCTCAGTTTGGACTCAAACTTTTTGTCCCCGAGGAGGGTGTTTCCTGTGGCACTTTTCCCAACTCCGGTTTTACCAACCAGGACAATTCTCCATGTTGAATCCTCTGGCTCTTGGCTTTCACCCTCCTGTGCTGTTGGGAACAAGGGGGCAGAGTCAGAAAAGCAGCACACACAGGAAAAGGAGCAGTAGAGAACTGCAAGATTTGTTCATAATTATACTCACTGTGTTCAATTTGCATGGAAAGACTTGTGGTGCGTTTGTTAATTAATGCATCACCGTATTGTGACATTGAATGTTACCCTGGCCTCAATGATTGCTCACTCATAAAAACTATTGGAGTTGGTGGTCTCCAAGAAGGGCCCACACAGACAGGGCAGCAGAGGGGAGCTGGGTCTGTGGCCCAGTGATGGAGCTGTGCTGCGTGGATGCCAAGACCGGAGTGGCAGCAGCACTTTCCAGCAGGGTGGAGGTGAGTTTGCCGTGTTTGCCCAGTGCTTGCTATAAGCAGGATTAACCTATGCAATGTGCATCCACGCGGTCATACTTTAGGGAAGCCTGAGCTGAGCAGAAAAGGGAAGGGGAGGTCTCCAAAGAGTTGCAAGCATCATTGTCTTACCCTGGTTGGATTTCTTGGATCCTTTATTCTTTTCTTTCTTGTCCATGTGGACCTGAAACATTCGCAATGCAGAGAGTTACTTACAAATATGAACGTACAGGTGCAGAGTATGGAAAGCAGTCTCAGCAAAACTCAGATTGCCAACCCCAAGTTTCTTTGGATCAAATCTTCTCCAGCCTCCTGCTCAAGGAAGGACCCTCCCTGACTAGACCACCCCAGCCAAGTGTCTGTCCAACCGGCTCTTGCAAATCTCCATGGTTGGAGGCCTCACAGTTTCTCTCAGTGCCTATTCCAGTCCTGGACCACCCTCTGAGTCAGAAAGTTCCTCCTCAACTCCAGCCTCAGTTTCCCCTGCTGCAGCTTGAGGCCACTGCTCCTAGTCCTGTTCCCTACAGCCACAGAGAAAAGCCCATCTGCATCCTGTCTGTAAAATGCCCTTCAGGGGTTGGCAGACTACTATCAAATCCCCTCTCAGTCTTCCCTCCTCCAGACTAAACAAGCCTAACACTTTCAGCCTTTTCCAATAAGTCTGCCTCCCAGACCCCGTGTCACTTCTGTTGCTCTGCACTGAACTCTTTCTGATCTGTCCACATCCTTGGTGAAGTGCGGGGCCAAAAGCCAGACACTGCGCTCCAGGAGAGACCTCACCAGTGCTGCACAGAGTGGAAGAAGAATCCCTTCCCTCGATTTGCAAGTCACGCTCCTGTTAACACAACCCAGGATGCTGCTGGCTTTATTTTTTTTTTGCCACAAGAGCACATTGTTGGCTCACGTTCAGCCTATGGGCTGCAGTAACCATCAGGTCCTTCTCTGCAGTCCTGCAGCCCGCCAGTCATTCCCCAGTCTCTATTTGGTCCTGTGGTTATTCCATCCCAAGTGCAGGGCTTTGCACTTGTCCTTGCTGAATCTCATCTCATTGATTGCAGACCATTTCTCCAGCCTATCCAGGTCATCCTGCATCCTCGCCCTGCCTTTCGGACTGTCTGCACCTCCATGCAACTCGGTGGGAAGCCCTATTCCCGCTTGTAAATATAAATCTTCTCTCTGTCAGTTTGTGGCTGTTGTTTCTGGTAAGTCCAAGGGGTGCTGTGGTGAACAGAGCATCTCCTATTTCTTGCTGTCCCCCACCCGATGTATTTATAGACAGGCACTAGATCACCTCTCAGCCTTCTCTTCTGGAGGCTGAAGAGATCAGGTCCCTCAATCTCTCCTCATAGGACCTTACCTGCAGTCCCCTAACCACATGAGTGGTCTCCTCTGGACACTCTCCAAGCTGTCCACATCCCTCTTGAAGTGCAGAACCCAAAACTGGATGCAGTACTCCAATTGCAGCCTGACCAATGTTGTATAGAGGGGAAGGATCGCCTCCCTAGACCTGTTTGTGATGCACCCACTGATGCATGATAATGTGTGGTTAGCTTTACTGATCCCTTCATCACATTGATGTCTCCTGTTCATCCTGGAGTTGACTATGACTCCGAGATCCCTTTCTGCTGCTGTGCTGCTTCAGAAGTCACCTCCCAGTCTGTGTGTGTTGGTGATTCCTTCTCCCCCAGTGCAGCACTTTGCACTTAGCTTTGTTACACTGCATCCTATTCTGTTCTGCCCACTTTTCCAACCTGTCCAAATCCATCTGAATCTGTTCCCTGCCCACTAGTGTGTTTATTTTGCCTTATACTTTGGTATCATCTTCAAATTTGGACAGAGTGCTTTCCACACCCCCTCCAAGTCACTGATGAAGATATTGAACAGCACCTGTCCAAGGACCAAACCTTGCAGCACCCCACTGCCCACATCCTTCCAGGTCGATACTGACCCGTCCCCCACCACTGTCTGGGTGTGAACCCTAAGCCAATTCACCACCCACTTGACCATGTAATCATCTACATCACAGCCATTTAGCTCATTTATGAGACTAGGATAAGACACCGTATCAAAGGCTTTTTTAAAACCCAAATAAATGACACCTACCTCAACTCTTGCATCTAAGCATTTTATGACCTGGTTGTGAAAAGAAACAAAGTTTGTCAGGCAGGATCTACCTGCTATGACTCCGTGCTGGTTGCCTTTCAGCATTATTTTTCCTGCTGGACTTCCACAAAAGTGATCCTTGATAAATTTTTCAAAGGTTTTCCCAGGGGTAGAGGTGAGACAAACCAGCCTGTAGTTACCCGGATCCTTCTTTCTCCCCTTCTCAAAAATAGGGACCACATTGGCCCTTAACAAGTCCTCTGGGACCTGTCCTGAGTGCCAAGTAAAGCAAGAACACTGGGTAATGCAAGAGGAAGAGCTAATGTGCAGGGAGCTAACTGTATTAAGGACATTGCAAATTCTTCAGTCACAATTAAATGGCAGTGGATCAGTGCAATTGCTGCATGCCCCGATCCGCCCCTTTGGAACAGCAAAGTAGGTTGTTGCCTTTCTGAACAAGTCAATCTCTAATGGGTCCATGATGTGTGTCTTAAAACAGGAAAGTGCCCTTTCCTGTAGCCACTTTTGGAAAATCGACCCATGAATAGCAGCTCTCTGAATCACTTGGGGGATAAGTTGGGGTCGTCTGATGGTTTTTATAAACCTCCAGCTTTTGCCTGATCAGAAAGTTACTCCTTTTTGTGGAAGCAGGTTTAGACATGCTGGAAATGATTTGGGTTTTCAAAAATTTTTCTGACTTGTATTTTCTCTGAGTGGGTCAAATCATCAAAACTCAGGCTGTGAAACCCCTCAGGCTCCCAGCACTGTTTAACACTGATGGAGCAACTCCCCTGCGCAACACGACCAAGGACAACTGTTCCTTTCATGCACGTAAGAGATAATAAGTCAAAAGCAAGTACTGTACTTGCAAGTATACATACAGGCAACAGTACACACACATGCAGACACAACTGCTACCTTTGGGCTGCTGTCTCGCCTCACAGAACAAGTGACTTTGTCTTTTGAGCTGTCTTCAGTCCATTTTCATCCCACTGTCCACGCTGACAGCTGCTCCTACATCCTAATGGGTGGGATTGTGTCCCGTGTCCTCCAGCTCTCAGTTTGCAAGTCATTCAGTGTCAGCAAAAACATGCCAGCACTGAGAGTGAAACCGAGCCAAGAAAGGCAACGATTCTAGTTTCCTTGGGTGTCTGGCTGTGGGAGGGGCTATTGGGTTTCAAATAGGCTACAGCACATAAAGCAAAAAGGCCTTGCAAAACCTCTGTACTGATCAATACCTCACGCCCAGGAGCCTCTTCAAAGGGACTTGCAGTGAGCTCAGGGACTCTGGCCCTAAAGTTGGGATAACTCGGCAGAGCTGAGAGCGCTTGTGTCAAGCATGTGAGGAAAGGGCGTTCTCATTCATAGATTCCTAGATGTTAGGGTCGGAAGGGACCTCAATAGATCATCGAGTCCGACCCCCTGCATGGGCAGGAAAGAGTGGACCCCAGCTAGATGCCTATCTAACCTCCTCTTGAAGACCCCCAGGGTAGGGGAGAGCACCACCTCCCTTGGGAGCCCGTTCCAGACCTTGGCCACTCGAACCGTGAAGAAGTTCTTCCTAATGTCCAGTCTAAATCTGCTCTCTGCTAGCTTGTGGCCATTATTTCTTGTAACCCCCGGGGGCGCCTTGGTGAATAAATACTCACCAAATCGTACTGTGCTCACTAGTGAGTCACATGGAGAATTAACACTACGAATGAACGCAGTTCCTCACCTGGGGGCTCCCTTCGCCTTTTTCTTACATCACAGGCTCTCCACACGGAGCCAGTCCAGGTGCAAGATGACCTTCCCACCTTCTGCTCCCAAGCATTTCCCCCCTCACAGCAAGACTGGAGGTGTGGGGTGGTCAACTCTTGTGATCTGAATGCCATTCTGGGAGGTGATTTTCTTCTTCTTGCCTTTAGGTGCCAATTGACCATTTTTATTATGAGTGGTTGCCATCTGCTGTTATTGCCAGCAAGCTGGCAGCCATCTCCCTCCATGATGCATGGTGATGAGGTTGCCCTTAGTAAAGGTGGCTGTCACCTTGCATTATTTCTAGTGAGTTGAAAACTGGGCCTACAGTAAAACGGTGGCTGCCCTATGGGTGAGGGGTGTGGGCAGGACAGGGGCTGTGAGGATAGTGGAGATGTTGTGACAAGTGGGGTGTTTGGATGCAAACCTGCGGAGGCAGGTATTACAGGTGGTGGGTCAACTCACTACTCTGTATTTGTAGCGTGGCTGTCACAGTCATAGAGAAGTGGGGCTGGAAGGGATCTTCAGAGGTTACGTCCAGTGCAACACCCTGCCTGAGGCAGGACCATGCAACCATCATCTCAGCTCGACGTAAGACTACCCTCAACCCTGACACAACACAGACCTAACACCCAACACAGACCTACATGCACAGGTAAAGCAGGAGAACCACAGCAGGCAATGTCCTGCTTCTCTGAAATGTTGTGCTGGCTTTCCATTCCTCCCTTGAACACTAGAGGTCAAAGCTCTACCATTTCCCTTTCACGCCTGCCCTTGTGTCTGTGAGCTCTGGATCTGCACAAACGCACATTCACAACAGTGGCTGATTGTTTCATTTTCTGGGAGAGAAGGGGATTTTTGAACCATTGGTCTCCTCTTTACTTCCAGATCAGAGCTTGAACTCTTGTCTTCGGGACCCTCGCCTTCAACGGAAGAGAATCTGAAACTGTTTTACAAATAGAAGTATTCGGCTGAGGTCCCGGCCACCGTAAAGAAGCAGCAGCCTGAAAAAATGACGTAGAAGGCAGAGGGCTTTGTAAGACAAACACAAGGTATGTTTTCTACACGATGTGTGTGTATGCGTGTGGGTATGTGTGTGTATGTGTGTGTGTGTGTGCGTGTGGGTGTGTAGCTTGGCTAAATGTGAGAAAACGTGTCTGAGGAGCCGTGCAAGAATGTGCCAGCTAATTGCAGAAGGAAATGAGAGTGAGGAAACTGAATCTGTCTCATAATTTGGCATGTATATGTAAAAACTATTTGACTTTCAGTCTAAAGAGGGGCTGAAACATCCAAGAGACAAGAGTAAGGGCTTTAGTAAAGATCTATTTCCGTTGTTGAAATAAGGTCAGGCTGTTTTGTACAACTCTTAGCAACTTGAGTTCCTTTTGCAGCATCCAGTGCTGACCATATGTCTTGTGGTGAGAAGAGTTTTAGCTAAAGCAAGACGGGGAATGGAGAGAACTGCAATACAAAATTAAGAATGTCTTATAATAAGTCATTGCCTACTGCACATGTGTATCGGGGCCTAGACAAAGTTGTACTGTATCAGCATGCATTGTCTTTCCGGTGTATAGTACATTTACAGGATCTTTCACACACACACACACACACACACACACACACACACAAAAATTCAACGTTTTTTTCTCTTTAACCAGTCTCAAACCCATTGAAAACTAGATTTCTATCAGTGGCTCATTGTATGACTAGTTGGGGGAACTGACTGTATTGTTAAAGTGTTTCTTAGGCCATCTGCTCTCATGCTAGGTTCTGTTTATTTCATAGAATCACAGAATCATAGAAAATGAGGGGGGAAGGGACCTCAAGGGGTCACATCTAGTCCACCCCCTGCTCCAAGCAGGCCCAGCCCCAACTACATCATCCCAGACAAGGCTTTGTCTACCTGGGTCTTCAAAACCTCCAAGGATGGAGAGTCCACCACCTCTCTGGGTAACCTGTCCCAGTGCTTCACCACCCTCCTAATGAGGAAGTGTTTCCTAATATCCAACCTCAGCTTCCCTTGCTGCAACTTGAGCCCATTGCTCCTTGTCCTGTCATCTTCCACCAGTGGAAGGCTGCTATTAAATTACCTATTTCTTTCAAAATGGCTGCCATCTTCCCATGATTCCAGTGGATGTCTACCAAGGATAGCCTGTCCAGTTCAGTTAGGAGACCCAGCTGGAAAAGGAGGCAGTGAATATAAAGCCAGTGAATGGCTCAGATGAGGAAGTGCCTGTAAGTGGGAGATGGGCTCCTTGAGTAGGGCCAGAAGCAGGGAAGTGAACAAACTTCCTGAAATTGCAGCTACCAGCAGAAAATGTTTCTTGTTTTGATGCTTAGCCTGAGTTTCTTTGTTTGAGGAATAGAACTGTTCCCAGAGGTCAGTCCGTCTAGGTGAAGCCTTTGAGGGGATGTGATGCTATGCCATTGAGTGATGTGCTTAATAAGTTGTGGGGCACTGAATCTGGTCCGATATGACTGAGGCCAGAGACCATTCTTAATTAAACTGTCCCCTTTCAAAACAACCATTGCATCCCATAGGTCTACTTTAACCTGGAGGAAGATGGTTACTTCCTGGGCTCCCAAGTGGGGAGAGGAGCACTGCAATGATAAAGTGAAGGGAGCAGGGACCCTCCCTGCTACAGGGAGTCAGTGCTCTTGTTCCCTTTGGAGAGACTGGAGAGTGCCCATCAGGCTGGATTGCACCATGCGTGACCCCAAACCCCGCTGAGAACAATAGGAAGTAGCAGCTATTGTCCAAAAGGCACTTTCTGTGTGGCGTTGAAGTGGAAGGCTTCAGCCTCTTCTGACAGAAGGCCTTTCCTTTCATAAATAATAATTTGCACATGTAGGTGGGGGGGGACTGTTAGTCCTTAAGAAAACGTTCTTCAAGTTCATGCTACTGCAGCGGTGTTGAACTGTGCAGGAGCTCTGCAGTGTGCCTGTTTAACAACCTTAGGGACCTCAGACCCACGAGCCTGAGCATCATAACCTTGACTTAAATTCCTAGTGTTCTTCCAGGGAAATGGTGCAATATGGGGAAGCATAGCCCACACTTTTGAGATCTAATGAAGCTGCTGAATCATGGCTTTTGGCACAGGACCCAATATTGCCTGAACTATGGAGCATGACTCCTCCCCCACCCCCCCCAATTCTTTTATATTTTTCCAAAAATGAGGTGTTTTAGGTAACATTAATATATTCTGTGGCCTTGAAATAGCCTTTATTCCCAGCCCCCAGCCACAAAAATGCATGCTTTTCATTAGGAAGGGCAGACAAGACTGGATGAGAGGCAGAAAACAGACTGTTGGGTGCTTTACCTCAGCCACATGGTGAATCCCAGCTGTACCTTGAAAGCTACAGATTTCCTAGCATGGAATTGCTGAGTCCTCTGGCATTAAGTGATCAGCTTCTCAGAGCTTTTGTTTCAGGCTCTCAGCCGATACAGGCAGGGGACACTACATGCATCTACTTATAAGCTTCCCTTCACAATTATAAGGTTGACACTACATCCATTTACTTATAAGCTTCCCTTCACAATTATAAGGTTGAGACATGGTGACTGTAAAATGGATAGGGAGACTTTCTATGGCAAGGGAGAAACTTCTATGGTCAAGTCTACTACTGTAACTTCTGAAGTGAGTGTGTGTGCATGAGGGGACAGGGGTGGAGGGCTGGTTGTAATGTTCCTGTTCTATGCACTGGTGATAATATTTGTGCATCCAAATTGCATTCACCATTTTTCTCTTTGAGATTGCCAGATTGAGTCAGAAAACTTCTAGTTTACCTTGTTATACTCACAGTACTTTCATTACTGGCAGCTACAAAGTCCAGACTTGCATTAGGGTGCAGACTTGCAAAGTCCAGACATTGCAGAGCCTGAAGAAGGCATACTCACCATTGCTTCATCTCTTTTTATATGATATATAGCCTCAACTCTGACAATTAGACTGACTTGTCAGAACAGCATTTAAAGTCAGCAATTTCTGGAACTGGGCTACAGATTAATTTTTTGCTATAAGAATTCCTCATTTATGAACACAGATGTTGCTACATGCTCCATAGCTTCAAAGGGAATAAAGAGGGTCTTCTGTGTTTCCAGGTTTGGAAATAACATTGGCTTCATCCCAAATATTTCAGCTGAAGATGGCAAATCAGAGGAGAGGTGAAGAAACCGGCCATGGTGAGAAAAAGAAATAAGGGAAAAATTTTGGTTGGCCTTCTAAGATCAGCTTACAGCCTATTTTTAAATATCTGTGACAATAGATTTAAAATTGTTTGATTATCATAGACTCATAGGAAATTTGGGTTGGAAGAGATCCTAGGAGGTAATCTAATCCAGGTCACATCTAGTCCAACCCCCTGCTCAGAGCAGGACCATCCCCAACTAGATCATCCTGGCAAAGGCTTTATCTAACTGGGTCTTTAAAAACTCCTTGTTAATTGTTAGTGCTCATGAATACTGAGAGGTTGTCCAGCCAGTTACAGCTTGACTTCATCAATGCTATTTAGTTTACTATTTATAGTCTTTTTGTTCAAAAGTGATAAATAAATACAAGGTATAAAAATAAATGTTTTACAGCAGCAACTCCATAGCGAAGATGGTTTTCACAGATGTTGGCCATATCCTCCAGATATCCACAGATGTTGGTTTTTACATACCTCCCTTCTAGTCTGTGCTTGAAGCATGTGATATATCTGAAAGAATTATAATGGGGAGAGGAAGATTTTTGATGAAAATTCTGTACCTCCAAGATTCAAAGATAAACCAAACTGTTAATTAAAACATAGCCTTCCTTGGAATCCAGACTGGTCACTCATAATTCACAGCACAGAATAGAGAGAAAAGTCCCTGGCCCTCAAATGTTCACTGCCATGTTCAACTTTCCTCCCTCTTGGACTCACTGGGATGCCTTGTGCTTGTAGTTGAGTACTTGCGTGAGGTTGTGGCTGGGATCCAGGCATAAACCTCCTGGCACAACATGTTTAGACTCGGCAGCAGACACGAGCACACTTTAGTTCCTATTGGTACACTCATCCATTTGTTGGACAATCACAATATGGAAATGCAGTAAACTAAGATACACGAATCATTTGTTAAACATCATTCATAGATTGATAGATTGTAGTCGGAAGGGACCACAATGGACCATCGTGTCCAACCTCTGCCCCTAGCAGGAAAGAGGACAGAGGTCAGATGACCTCAGCCAGGCGCCTATCTAGCCTCTTCTTGAAGACCTCCAAGCTAGGTGATAGCACCACCTCTCTTGGAAACCCATTCCAGATCTTGGCCATCCTAATTGTAAAAATTTCTTCCTAATGTCTAACCTAAATCTACTCTCCTCTAGTTTGCACCCATTATTCCTAGTTATTCCCTGGGAAACATTCACCCAGTTTGAGTCCTACCTCTGTTTTCTTGCTATGAATCTCTAAATCTGTCAAACTTGTTCCCAGCTGATCCAGGAGAAGGTAACTGCCACACTGGAGCATCAGAGCTGAGAATCATCCTTGTGGGGAAAACTGGAGCAGGGAAAAGCGCCACTGGAAACACCATCCTTGGCAAGAGGGTGTTTAATTCCAGAGCCAGTCCAAAGTCAGTCACTGAGACTTGTGCCAAGGCAAGATGCACCTGGAAAGGGAAGGAGGTTGTGGTTATTGATACTCCTGCCTTTTATGATACAACAGACCCTGATAGAAATCCTTCAAAAGAGATCAGTCACTGCATCCAGCTCTCTTCCCCAGGCCCCCATGCTCTGGTGCTGGTACTACAGTTGGGCTACTACTCTGAAGAGGACAAGAAGTCAGTGGAGAAAGTACAGGAGATATTTGGAGAAGCAGCACTGAAGCACACAATTGTCTTATTCACCCGGAAAGAGGAATTGGCAGATGACCCCTTGAGTGAATACATAGGAGCCTTAGGTAAAGCTGATCTTCAGCATCTCATTCAAGAGTGTGGGAATCGATACTGTGCTTTCAACAACAAAGCAGCAGGAGAAGACCGGGATGCCCAGCTCAGTGAGCTTCTGGGCATGATAGAGAGACTGATGAAGGAGCATGGAGGGCAATGTTATAAGATTACAGAAGTAAAGGTATCAGGGGAGTCCTATAGAGAAGTGAAAGAGGGACCATACCATTTTGATGAAAACTGTGCAAACAGAGAAGAAGAATCAAGGACTGGGTCAGAAGAATTAAAGACAGAAAGGACAAAGTTGGACAAGATCAATGAAGTGCTAGAAGGGGAGCTGAAAGATCAAAAAAGCACAATGACAGAACCAGAGGAAAAAGAAAGAGATTGTGATGAAGCCATGAAGAGAGTCAATGAAGAAGCTGTGGCTGATGCTGGAAAAGTAAGCAATGTTATTTTCACTCATATCTGTTGATATAAGTCCAGGGCTCAAATTGTGCTGAATCTTTCTAGGGTGGCTCCTGTCAGGCTACAGACTCTCCTGACCCACTGAAGTCAGAAGTAATTGTAAGTCTCAAAGTTGCTGACATTTCCTTGACAATATGACAGAAAATTTAGCCCAGTGATTCTTAAATGGGGTGCAGCTGAATTCAGAAAAGTTATTAGGGGTGCCTTGAGTCTAAAAAGCATGAGAACCACTGTTTCGGCCAAGGCAAATGTTTTTTATGAGCGAGGAAAGAGCCTTAGACAGTTTACTGAACATCCCTCTTCTCAAGGGGCAGTTATTAAATACCAGCTTGGTTAACAACTTTACTACTTTTTGAGTGAACAGAGTGAAAGTGAGTTCTCATGCTGCCCTGGCTGGGGAATGTCTCCCTTACAGTTCTTGTGGGGAGGGGAGGGCATGCAAAGGATGGGGATTTTTCTCATGTGACACCATCTTTTCCTCCAGCGCCAACTCTTCCTTCAGGTAGTTAGAAACAGCTGTCTGTCCGTGACCAGCAAGCTGGGTTCAGTCGATCTCCTGGCAGAGGGGTGCTGGAAGGAATGAACTGAAGTAGAATCCAGTTGTGGCTGGTCGGTTATTTTCAAACTTCTCATTTGAGGCACATCCCTTCTCTCTGCCTCTGGCAGAACCCAGGGCCCTTTCTCTACCTTCCTGCCCGAGTGGAAAGGACTCAGCTGGGTCAGTGCAGGTAGAAGGGCTTGAGAGAGGAGGCAGGGACAGTGCAGGGAGCAGGCTAGAGTTTGGTAAGGACAAGAGAAGTGGAGGAGAGGGCTTGGGAGGCAGAACTTTCCTCTATGTGCCCCATGGCACAGCTCTGAACACTTCACATCCTCCTCTGTGATGGTTCTTATCTCAGGCCCATCACCAGGCTCCAGTTCACACCGCTTAAGATACTCACAAGCAAGGCTGTGTCCGTTTCAGTTTTACAAATGACAACAGGCAAGGGTGCAGGAACACCTGGTCCCTCCGTTGTGTACACGGCATCGGTATTGCTTGAGCAATGTTACGTTACTCAGAGCTTGGGCTCAGCTGTGCACACCTCATTAAGTGCTGTTAGACAGCTACTCAGGGCAAGGATCGAGTTGGTTTGTTGTGTCTCAAGAAGTGGGATACAATGAAAAGTGACTGATTTGCATCTCACCGGCATGCAGGCCAGTTTTGGTTCAACTCCCCGTTGAGAAATGATGCAGTCCCAAACCAAGGCAGTCAGCAGCAAAGCTCTCTGCTCTCTCCAAATCACCCCATTACTATCTCAGCTCAGAACTACTGGGATGTTTCCTCACCTAGATCTCAGCACAAGCTTTATTAAATTGACAGAGATGCCAGGAAGTTTGGTTTTTTTTCTTAATGGGCAGCAGTTTGGGAGATCTGGTATGTGCATGGAAAAGGAAAAGGTTTCATTTTCTGCTACAGTCATTTCAGTACTCACCAAGAAGTGTAAATACATTCAAGAGGGACCTGATAGGAGTGGAAGCAAATTTCTTCCCTGAGCTCCTTCTGAAATTCCATACATGCATTTAAAAAAAAAAGATTACAATATTATTTTTCTTCTTATTAATGCATGTTATTTATTATTATTACAGATATTTCAGCCATGTTTGCAGCCACAAAGAGATGCACCAACTCCCCCAGGTAAGAAAGCAACACTTGAGCCTCTGGTCTGGGGGAAAAGGCAGAAAAAGACTTCCAGGAAACATGACTCCAACACTCATCTCCCAGTATTTGGGGGAGGGGTCTGTTTTATTGCCCTGGTGATCTTTCTGCAGTTCAATTGCTCTGTTGAATTCCTGATGGCTTGTTCCTAACCAGTTAAAAGCTACATACCTCACTTTTTCCTGTTCAGAAAAGAGATCTGGGAGTCAGCACAGACAGTTTGCGAAAAACATCAGCTCCGTGCTCAGCAGCCATCAAAAAGCAAACACAATGTCATCGATTATTAAGAAGGGGATTGTAAACAATACTGAAAGTATTGTCATGTCCCTTTATAAATCCGTGGTGTGTCTGCGCCTTGCATACTGTGCCCAATTCTGTCACCAGACCTCAAAAATGATAGAGGAGATCTAGAGACGGTCTGGAGAAGGACAACAAGGGGGATGGAAAGGCTTTCCTTTGAGGAGAAACTAAAGAGGCCAGACCTGGTCAGTTTAGAAAAGAGACGCTTGAGAGGAGATATGAGCAGGGTTTACAAAACACCAAATGGTGAAGAGGAAGGCAATAGGGATTCATGTAGTATCTCTTACAACACAAGAACTAGGGGTCACGTCTACAAATGACAACTGCACAGTGGGTACCGCACATTTATTTAGTACCTGTATAAGCAAGTACTAAATAAATGTGCAGTAATCTGAGTTACTGTGCAGTAGCACCAGCAAACATCTTTTAAGTGCTGCAATTACCAATACTGTGCAGTAGCAGATTAGCGCTGTCCATGCTGTGACGCACCCAGTAAATGGCAGTTCTGATGTTCTTATATTATGCTCCAGAGGGAAGTTATTGTATTCTTTCCCTTCATGTAACATCACACAATTGAGGCAGGGAACACAACGCAGGAACAATGATGAGAGAAATATTGCAAAACAGTGACACTTTCTAGCACAACACAAACCCTAAGTTGTATTCAATTAATTTATTATCTGTGCAATGATGTTCTCAGTCTGTTAAACTCATTCCCAGCAGCCGAAGAGGAAGGCAGCCAGAACCCAAAGGAATCAGCATGGAGAATTGTCCTTGTTGGTAAAACTGGAGTTGGGAAAAGTGCCACGGGAAACACCATCCTTGGGGAGAAAAAATTTGAGTCGAAACTTGGGGCAAAATCAGTAACTTGGAAATGTGCCCAAGGAAGCATGCTGTGGAATGGGCGTGAAGTTGTGATTATTGACACTGCCAACATTTTTGACCCAAATACCCATGGGCCCGAAATTTCACGTGGATTTGGTTGTTGCTTCGCACTCTCCTATCCAGGCCCCCACGCTCTGGTGCTGGTGACCCAGCTGGGCCGTTACACAGAGCAAGACAAGGCAGCTATGGAGCGAGTAAAAGCAATCTTTGGCCGTGAGGCTCTGACGTTCACAATTGTTTTATTCACTCGGAAAGAAGACTTAGGGGATGGCTCCCTGGATGAATACGTGAAAAACACAGATAACCAAGAGCTCCGAACATTGATTAAAGCCTGCAAGAACCGATACTGTGCTTTCAACAACAAAGCAGCAGAAGCAGAGCGGGAAGCACAGGTCAAATTGTTGATGGAACTGATTGAGGAAATAGTGAAGGAGAATGGGGGCAAGTACTGCCCCAATAATCAGTCTGCCCTGGATACCATGTTGAATGAAGAGAATGGAGTGCAAATGAGAGACAGGAGAAAGTCTGAGGCAACTATTAGGCAACATGATGGATGGAAGTTGTTTAACAGGGCTGTGCAAGGCTTCAAATCCCACCTTGGATCCGGAGTCCCTTCAGATGCTTCGGCGTCCAAATCGGCACTTCCGGATTGAAGTGGGATTCCACCAATGGTGTCCGGAGCGGGTCGGGGGCATCCAAAGCACTTAAGATCCACTTCAGATGCTTCGGCCATTTTGAGGCAATTAGAAGAAGGAGGGGGAGCGGGGGAGGGATGGAAAGTGGGAGGAGGGGAGGGAGGGGCAGCGGGGTCGGGGGGGGGAAGACTGAGGTCTGTAGGTAGCCAGCGAGAAGGATTTCTCTCTGTCTACCTTTCCATGGCAGCATCTGTGGGGTGGGAATAAAAACAAAAAGCATGAAAGCCTCTGTTTCCAGCCCTTCTCTGCCTTTTGCAGCTCATTTCCTGTCAGCGACTGTGAGAGAGGAACACTGTGACTGAGACCTGCCTGCTCCTTTTTCACGTTATAAAGGAATGGTTAGGATTTAGCTTATCTTAGCTTAGCTATTCTATTCAATTATTAGTAGTATTACAATTAAATTTATTTCTTTGAATTAATTTTTGGAAACTTTGCAAAAAGACAGTTGTGTTTTCCCAGCTAGTGTAGCCTATCACTGTGCAGGGAGGGACAGATTGCTTGCACACATGCACACACCCACCCAGAATATAGAAAAAAAAAAAAAAATCACAGCAGACGAAGACAGACAGATATTTACAGAAGAACAAGACACAGGTAATAAATTGAAACACAGGAAGCCACACAAATAATTTGACAGACACAGCTATTCACTGGAGAACAAGATAGACCTATATAAAAAAGGATTCACACACACACACCTTTTGCAGCACAGGAAAAAATCAATATGAAGCGTGCTGGAAAGGCAGGTGCCAGGTCTGCTGGCAGGGGAAGGAATGGGGGTAGAGGGAGAGCTAGAGCTGCAAGCTCCTCCTCCCCCCACCATCCCAGACACAGACGTTTCTTTTCCCGAGCAGCCATGACATCAGTGCTGCCAGTGGAAGCCAGGCGGTGGGAGCAGTGTCTGCATCTGATGTCCCTGCACGTGCACCACCCCTGCTCAGTCCAGAAGTGGGCACCAGCCGTGGAATCACTGCCTCCTCCACCCCAATGTCAGCTCTCAGCGTGAGCCTCCCACTGCCAGAGGAGGAGCTGGAGCTGGAACCAGGGATGCTGAGCGTGCTGGCTCAGGCAATTCTGGGGACTGAGGGAGAATCAGAGTTTGTGCTCCACACCCCTCATGTTTCCCTTAGACTCAGGTCTCCTCTGGAAAGCAGCACCTTGGAGGAGGCTGAGGTTGTGGATGCAAGTGGCTCAGCTGAGACAGCTCCTCCTGCTGTTCAGCCTCAGCCTGCTGAGAAAGTGGAAAAGGCAGGATCCTCACCCTCAACACAGAAGCAGGGGAGTAGTGTAGTGTGGGATCAGTTGGAGGTGGCAGATGATCCCAGGTTTGCCAACACTGCTGAAAGCACATGAGTCATGGCAAGGACTTGAGACACTTCTCCTCCATGGCCATGCTGCTGTATCTGAGGAGGCACCACCTCCTTCTCCTTCTTCCTGCTCAGCCTGGCACCAGTGCAAGCGTGCCAAAAGGGAAGCCCCCCACTTGCTCCAAATCCCTCTTCCCCCAAAGCAGAGGCAGGCCACCCTGGACCATTGGGGAAAGGTGGACAGAACGTGGGGCATGTTCCTAAGGTGAGCGAGATCACCCAGTGCATTGGGGAGATGCTTGCTCTGGATAGCCAGCCCTTCTCCCTAGTTGAGTGGCCAGGGTTCAGGCAGTTCATAGCACCTCTGGCCCCATTTTACAAAGTGCCTGCATGCACCACCTTTAGCAGGGCAGTGGTGCCCTCCCTGTATAAGGCATGCAGGGAGTACTTGAGGGAGGAGCTGCGCAAGGAAGAGCTGCAGGTAGCCTTGCACTTCACCTCCAAAATCTGGAGCAGCCGGGGTGGTGATCACACCTACCGCTCCCTCATGGGGCAGTGGTGCACTCAGCCAGGCCATCAGTGGGCTCTACGGCAAGCCGAGGCACTGGATGAGTCCCACACAGCAAGCAAGATCATGGGGGCCATGAACCGCATGGTGCAGGGGTGGCTCGTTGGGCAAGCCGAGCTCACCTGCGGGTTCATGGTCACTGACAACAGGGCCAATATGGTAAAGGCTGTCTACAGCACAGAATCATACAGGCTGTTGAGACTCAGTGGAACTCCACATACCTGATGCTCGAGAGGCTGGTGGAGCAACAGAAGGCCATCCATGAGATGGCCTTGCTTGGGGAGATTGGGATCAGCGCCCCCCTGAATAGAGCTGAGTGGGGGTTGTATGGGGAGGTGGAGCCCCAAGATCTTCGCATCCACTTGCAACCTTAGTGAAACACCACTAAACAGAGAATAACAGCAGCCCCAAGATTAGAATTTTGGTCAGACGTGGCAGACGAGAATCTTTGGTGGTTGAGGTAACTGGTTCCAGCAGCAAGCTGTCAGCCCACAGGACCGCAGTTGGCTGGGGGTGACTAGAAAAGCCTAAGTGGGTAGCCTCGGACAGTCATGGCAAGTTACAATGACACTACTGAATGCCTGTTGTCTTCAGCAAAGCATGTAATTAATTTCTTCATCTGGTCACAGAATTTAAAAACTTTCAGTAACGAAGCATTGTTTCCAACTTCCATTTTTCTTAATACACTGATTTAAATAAATTGCTATTTTAATGGGCTCATGATCAGAAACTAAGATGTTATATATTTCTGCAGCTAAACAAGCAATAACCAGATCCTGGGATATGAGAAATAATCAGTGCTGGAGTATGGTAAGTGAACTTGTGAGAAGTAGGTGTAGCTTCTCTTCTTTAGGCGGTGAAGACACCATATATATCAACCAATCCTGTGTCCTTTAATAAATAAGAGGGCTTGTTTTAAGTTTTCTGATAGATTCTATTAATATTAACTGATTTATTATGCACCATACCCAATACATAGTTCTGATCACCACCCAGATTAATTGGTATGTGGGACTTTGTTGCTAGCATATTGTAATATATGACAAAAATGTAGCATCTCCACCACTAGGATTATAAATATTGCCTATAACTAATTTTCTATTGTTACACCTTCTATTGTTATGACTTCACATTGTTAATACCTTCTGTTAGTACAAACCTCCCCTTAGAAAATCAACCCATTTTTTACTTCATTTAAAAGCAATTTGTTTGGAAATTAATATAGATGTACCTCTGCTTCGAGAATTAAGTGAAGACTGGAATACAGATCCTATCCATCACATTTTTTAGCCTAGAATCATCTTCAACTTTTAAAGGCATTTCTTGTAACAAAGCAATCTGACTGACCATAGATTTTACATGTCTGAGCACTTTCATCCTTTTGGTGGGTTCAATCAGTGCTTTCACATTCCAGGAAATAATATTGTCATTAGTTATTCTCCTAACATATTAAATGAAGTTACCAAGTTCCTGGGGACAAAGAGGGAACATAAAGGAAAAAAGGAGGAAAAACCAAAATGATATCCATAGATTCATACATTCATAGATGTTAGGGTCAGAAGGGACCTCATTAGATTCATAGATTCATAGATGTTAGGGTCGGAAGGGACCTCAATAGATCGTCGATTCCAACCCCCTGCATAGGCAGGAAAGAGGGCTGGGTCTAGATGACCCCAGCTAGATACTCATCCAACCTCCTCTTGAAGACCCCCAGGGTAGGGGAGAGCACCACCTCCCT